TAATGAAAAAGGTGCTAGTGGAGAAATTGTTGGCAAGAGTTCTCCAAACAGGGACCATTTCTATTCTAAAAGATTAGCCAAATCCCCAACTGGCTTTAGGAGCAATGAACATTGGGAAAATTAAAAGTTAATGGTGCAGAAATGGCAAACGAAACCTTTAATTATCTGAGGAAATGAGCGTCTAATATCTATATCGAGACTAAGAAACATCGTTCTGAGATGTTGAACAATGGGGATGAAAATGCAGAGTCAAGGAGTCGTCGTTTACCAAAGTCCCTGGGCATGATCCTTTCTTTTGTTGAGTACAGCGATTCTCCAAGTTGCAATCCTAGAAAATACGGTGATGATATATTCATAACTGCCAAGATGAGGTTATCTCCTCGAGGCATGGCTAACAACATGAATGGGCTTGTGCAAGAAAACCATGAAAATCATCCAAGTTCGTCTGGGCCAAACTTAGAGAGTCATCTTCCCATAGCTGGTGACAATGCCAATGGTTCGCAGGTTCGGTGCCGCCGGAGAAGGACATGATTGTGGTGGTGGTTTTGTGGCAGTGGAAGTTCAAAGCAAGATTAGATGTCGACGAAAACGTTTGGATACAGTAACGACTTTTGTTCTTCATCGATTTTGGCGCCGATCGGAGGCGGAGATGAGTCCGACGATGTTGTCTCACTGTTGTGAAGCGAGGAAATTGGAGATGGTAATGGAGAGGTTTGGAGGGTTTTCAATTTGGGAGAAATGAATGAGTTCTGAATTCCTCTATGGATTTTTAGGGAAGATGATTTAGGATGTGCAGATGATTAAGTGGGGAGGATTTGACTTTTGAGAGTATTAATACGGGAGTAAAAGTTTTAATTAATTTCAGGGTATTATTCTAATTGATTAATATTGGAGGGTAGTGGGCCTAATTATCCCAAGAACAATTTGTTCAACGAGCTACTTGGGCTGGAGCGTGATCATAAACTGGCAGAAAAAGTATTTTTCCCTTTTCCAAAATAAAATTTTAATATAAATTACTGAAGTAAAATCATGACAAGGTAGCCATACTCAACATGCTACTTAATTGCATTTTCATAGGAGAGCGAACAATAGGGTTCATTAGTGCATGTTTTGTCAAAGTTTTTAATTATTTATAAGTAGTTGGTTCAAAGGAATATAGTTAAAGGTAGATAAAAATTTGTAAATTCTACAAAATGTATTAAAAAATAAAGTTGAATTAACTTATAAAAAATTATAAACTTTAAAAAACAAGCGTATTTCAACTTTATGGCTTATGATGACAAATGAAAGCGAGCAAATGACTATTGGACTTGTTAACTTTACACGTTGAGATTAGAGAGACATGTAAGATATTTGACGATACTACTTGTACAAGGTCACATGGCCATGTATGGTGCCAATATTTTGTGACATTTTCTATCTTTTCGTTGGCATTGGGTGGGGTATTGAAAAGGAACCGGTTTGCAACTTTGCATCCTTACAATTAGTAAGGAAGCGAATTCCACGTATGCAAGATGGAGCATCAGAAGAACCAACAATTGAATTGGAAGGCAAGTTTGGGCCAAATATATATATATATATATATTTTTTCCTTCACTACATAAAATTGACGCCCCCCCACCCCCACCAACCCTTTTTTTTTCCTTTTCGTTTCAATCCTTAAAATTGGCTAGAAAGAACTTAGTCCACCCCAAAAGTCCATTCCACCTACGCGTGTAAGCTTAGGGGTAAAGATTCAGCAAGGATATGGCTTGTTCAATTTGAGTAAGGAGGGAAAACTAGATATCGATATCATCAAAACTAAACACGGACATAACTCATAAAACACTAATTTGGTAAGAGGAGCTTCTATAGGTTATGTTTCTACTCTGTTCAACACAATATTATGGTCCTTGTTCATCTCAAACAAAAGAAAGAAGAGCAGGAGAAACTTGATGTAGATGGACATGTAGATACAATTGCAGAGTGCAGGAACAGAGGAAGAACGCAATGTGTTATGAGAACTTCAGTTGCCAGCTCATTACGACATCTTCTAAAGCATGAAAATGAGGTTTTCACAATTCCAAGAAAAATGAGCTGGAAATAGCCCTTACTTGAAAGGAGGGGACGCGAGAATCAAGAGCTTCAAATCTACTACTGACAACAAATTATACAATTTCCGTACCAAAAGTTTAGAGCATCTACAATGAGCTATGGATTGCACCAAAAAATGTGTCACATCACCCTCAATATGCTTACATAACCAAAAAAAAGGGTCAAGGCAGGGACGGATACAGTGGGGGGCTGGGCTGGGCTGTAGCCCCCCCGAAGGCCCAAAAAAAAAATTGTAAGGTTTTTACTTTTTTTTTCTTAAAACAGTTTTTCATGTGTAAAATTTTTTTTTTCGCGTATTAGCCCGATTTGAAATTTTGTAGCCCGGTCTTGGATCAGTCTCTGGGTCAAGGATGTAGACACACCATCTACCTAGGTATGCTAGACAATCTCCACTTAATTTTTTATAATTTATCCTCACTGGAGGATGTCATTTTAATTTTCTTATAATTTATCATCACTCTTTTTCTACATCATTTCTCTTGTACATGTGGCCCACAATTAGTGCAATCCACGTCCCTATGAGAAATGCTCTTCTTTCCATTCCCATTTTGCTTGTCACATATACAACAATTCATATTGTTGCACTCGAGATGCTCTTAGCTAGCCATATTTCTCAATATCTGGAGGGCAAGAGGAAGGCATACATGCAACAGAAGATCAATCAAAGAATCCCCTCTCCAGCGCCCGAACAGCAGCTATCATATGGCTAACAGTTGCATTTAAGGACTTACAATGAAAGTCATCACGCACCTCTAAGAATTCTCTAGAAAATTGGTGATGATTTCCTCCTGATCAAATTCCTTAATCCATAAGCATGCTTAGAAAACTCTGGAGAAAATTTGGAAAGGCTGCCCACCGCCATTCATGGAAAATTTTGGAATTCCAGCCACCGCCATACTAGAAGGGTCCATAACCGACCTTAACACCTATATATACATATATCTTGTTGTATTGTGTGTGAAAAAGAAAGAAACAGAAAGAGAGTGACAAGAAAGTGCAGGAGTGGTTGAGTGATGTGTTAGGGAAAAACAAAAGTGCTGTACGTAAGTGGTGTTTGCTGAAATTACGTGATATAAACTGTCCAATTTTTGTCAATAAAATCATTTCTTGTTGTGTTTAAACTCAACATACAATCAATACGTTCTAGTGCTAAATATCAGCACCTTGTTCTAGTAGCCAAGTATAGCTTACCAGAATTAAGGATTACTCTTCCTAGTAATCACATCAACCAAATTTCTACATTCCTATAGCCAAACACAATCACCATCTAGTTTAACATTCCAAGACAGTCTTGTTTAGTTTGAAATTCCCATGTAGTAGAACTATTGCTTCCGTAAAGAAAATATGTCGAGATCTAGATTTTTATAACAAGACAACTTGGGTGCATTATTATTATTATTATTATTATTATTATCAAACTCATCTTGAAACCTCTTCAGCGTTGCCATGATCACCTAAATTCTCATTAACTTGTAGGCATGGATTCATCTTACTATCATAAGTATGCATTTCAGTCTACTTTGACGAAGATATATGGCAATCGCTCTCCAAAAGTATAGATCCATTAAATAATTTAAGATAGATTAAACAGAGCCAAGGATCCTTGCACAACATATACAGTTTACACTTGGCCTTTATGACGTACACACAATCACAGGTGCATAGAAGCGTGTTTTCACCGCAGCTTAATGATAAGGTGTACGAGATTAGTAGTAAAAGTTAGCACTTCATGAACAAGAATTTATTCCTATCAAACCCAACTCACAACAATTAGCATTCATACATTCTGTACTGCATTCATGCATATCTATATACCAATAAAGAGAGACTAAATGAAAAAATTAATAGGGGTTGCAAGATTAAAAAGCCTCCGCAATAAAATAACGTAGACAACTTACAGTAGCCCGTCTTTAGAGTGTTATTTGTAAGCACTGTAGATGATCGTGCAGCCATAATAAATAAAAAGGACCAATATTTGATCCTGCTAAACATAAAAGTCAAAAATCACACTAAACATTAATCAAACTTGAAACACGATAAAAGAAAAGCAACAAAAGATCAGATCCACATAGCTATTCAAGTGCTCGTATCTTTTTATGCACTTCGTTGCCCCCACATTACATATCTTGCAATTCTTACACTAAATTAATTGGTCATCGTATTCTCATCCTTTCGTCAGTTAACCAAGTAGAAAACTAGCTTTTTTTACTGAATAACTTATTACAATAGTCTATATGTTCTCTTTGAAACACAAAAAGAATTTCTGCAGATAATGTATTGAAGAAAGAGTCAGTTAGACAAAAAACAAATAAAACATAATACTAGGGCTCAAGATCAATGGTTTTTATACCTAACACGAGCAACTTGATTAAGTGGATACAATTTTCATTTTTTCAGAACCCAAATCATCATAAGTTTCTTATAACAAACGTGGTAAAACTCGAACTGACAATTACATAAAATTCAAATCTAAAAACAGTCAACCAGAACAGATAAAGATAAAAGAAAGTATAAACCACAGTTTTGAGATTAATCACACAGTAAAAATTACACATCCGCCACAAATAAATGAGGAGATGGAGAACAGTAGTGAATCTAGTACTAATCAAGTTGATAGTAATCGTCACGGAACCGATCGCGATCAACGAAAACGATTGCGTAGAGAGCATAAATGATCCCAGGAATGTAACCTAGAATAGTCAACACCAAGCATATGAAAAACTCCACCTATAAAAACAAAATATACACACTTCGTAACACAATCATNNTATACACACTTCGTAACACAATCATCAAAGGAGCAAGTATGTATCTAAGAACGGAGCTTACAGAGCAGCAGCCGTGACGGAGGCAAACTCCGAGAGGAGGGAGCAGAATTGCCAGTATAATTTCGCAGAGAAGTGCGCATCCTGATGCCATCTTTTCCGATTTCCGATCTGATTTTTCTCTCTGCAATTTTAATCCTAGACAGAGTGAGACTTGTAATCTGTTTCGATAATTCGGGTGTGAAATTGAATGGGAGCTATTGAGAACGAGGGTAGTAATGTCAGCTGTGTGCGAGCTGGCCCCTTTGTCTCTAGATTTTAACTATAATGAAAGTCCGCAATTTTTTTATTTTTGTTGTTTATTTAATACTTTTATATCTTTAAAGTGTTACTAGGACGGTCGATTGATAGAATTTTGATTCGAATTCGATGAAATTAATGAAAGATATTTTCAGGATTTTAGTCTGATGACTCGATCAAAATCTGAATTCGATAATCCATTAACTAAATTGATCAAATATGGATATATGTCAATCCGATCCGATTTGTTATAAATAAGTAAGTCGGTAAAAAAAATTTATGACATGTTATTTGTGACTAAAATAATAAATTTAGAGTAAAAAATCATCAAATTCAAAACATAAAAGAGTTGAAAAATTTATAACTATTAAA